CAGTGCACAGCCTTGGAGGAGGACACAGAAAAGCAAAACCATTTACATGTGCCAAAGTCCGTAGACCTTTTCGGATATACTGGTTACTTGCAACTCCTCCTGATACAACCTGAGAGCAGTTGCAAAAAGAAAGAAGTCATTAACTCAAAAGTACTGATTGGTCACTCTCAACATCCTATTTAAATAAATTGTTATCAGATGAAGTTCTGAAGACAGCAATAAATGTTTGAAGATTAAAACGCATCTTTGGAAATGAAAACATATCAGAAAGGGTATGATAACTGAGCTTTACTATACTAAGATTAACAGAATCACAGAATAGTCAGGGTTGGAAAGGACCTTAACATCATCTAGTTCCAACCCCCACTGCCTTGGGCAGGGACACTAGACCACGTCACCCAAGGCTCTGTCCAACCTGGCCTTGAACACTGCCAGGGATGGAGCATTTATCACTTCCTTGGGCAACCTGTGCCAGTGCCTCACCACCCTCACAGTAAAAAGCTTCTTCCTTATATTTAACTTTCCCCTGTCTAAGTTTGAAACCATTACATCTTGTCCTATTACTACAATAATATGAATAACATGAATAAATGAATAAAACCGTAAGTAGAACAGCTATCAAGTACTGGAGAAGACTAGGTCAAATTACATAACCTAAATTATTATGAAAGGTCAAATCAGAGATTTTTTTTTACTGTCTATCTCAAAACCAAACCATGGAAGACTTTACTGTAAATATTTATATGACTGTTACTTTAACCCTGGTATTTTGTCAGTACATACTGACACCTTCCTCACTTGTCAAGGGAGAAAGTACAGCAATGCATGTCCATCTTCAAATGATGTTATACAGCCACATATAAAAAGGGGGGGGGGGGGGGGAATGTATACCCACCAAAGTTGCATTTTTTGATGACAATATGCTATTTTTCATGCAGAACAGCATGGCTCGGTATGTCCGCTGCATAATATGCACAGCCACTGTGTGCTGCACAGCAGCAGCAATATCCTTGACACAGGAAAGGATCTCACCTTCTTGAATACCTACGGAAATGCATGATCAAATGGGTTTTCCTGAGTATGTATCATCAAAAACATGGTTTACATCTGACTTTGTTTAAAAATACCTTCTTCTTTTTCTTTTTGTGTAATGGTGTTATTGACAATGTTCTGAAGTCCAGAGAAGGAAAAGTCACAGTTACGATACTGTTGCATGGGAAGTCTTAACATGATCTGCTGCTGGTTTCCAGTCTGAGCCAAGTGCTCTATTGCCTTGCCCCCAGCCATGCTGTGGCACTCAGGGTGCTTTTTTAGGGAGAGTCTTCTAGCTACCTAGGGAGATAATAAACAACAGACTTGGAACAGAGCAGTACATCAACTCCTCCTGTAACTGCATCACTGTATTGTAGTGTGTGGGATAAAATTTGCAACCACAAAACCAATCAGCATGCAATTACAAACAGGGTGTGATAAGGATGAGGCATACACCAGCTGGATTTTAATTAGAAATGCAATTCTAGAACAATTTGGGCAGACATGAGGTCAACAAATTTTGCAGGAAACATTAATTACCTAATTTTTATGCTACAGGAAACACACATGGACTGTCATATTGTGTTACCAGATAAACAGGAACAAAGTTGGTTTCAACCTTCAACAACCCCCTCTCTGATCTACTTGCTCCCTCACTTTTTCAATTAATACAGACAACTACTGTTTAGCAACTCTGCTTCTGTTGGGTCACTTTTAGGTTTGTTCTCAATTTTACAGATGGTACCCAAGACCCAGCAACCTTTGATACTGAAAGCCAAAACAGGCTTTTCAAACTGTACAAGAAACCCAGTAAGAATTGTTTAATATGTATTGCTTTCCACCTGACAGCATTCTTTAAAACACCTCTATCCATCTTCTCAAATTCATAATAATCCTTTGTATAATGGGTGTCCATGAAGCTTCCAACACCAGTTTTGGTGACGTTGTCTATTTGCTAAAAATCAATTTGCATATGTTACAATTGATGTTGTATGTAGATTTTTAAGAGCTTGTTGTGTATTAAATGTATGGCATTTCAAAATAGGAAAAAAAAACAAAACCAAAAACCTTATACTGCACTGTATTTCTGTGCATGCGCTGATGACAGTATTACTATATTCTAGTGTAAAGGCAATTAAAAAAAAAAGCTAGATTTGCTTACGTAAAGAAGTACTACCTTATCCAGCATGTCCCCTGGTGCTATATCTATGGACTGTCCGAGCAGAAGGAAATCTGAAACTCCCTGTGCTACTGCCAAGAGACAGTGGCCTCCGGAGAGCAAAAGCACCAGGAAGGGAAACTCCAGGTGACAGGTCAGCCTGACGGTCAGGGCGTGAGCCTCCATGTGATGGATGGGTATGAACGGCTTCTGGTACTTGTTCACTAAGCCCAGGCTGTACTGCAGCCCCACACCAAGGCTCAGCGCAAGTCCTGGCTTGACTGTGGTGGCGACAGCGGTGAGGTCAGGTATGGAAACGCCACTGGTACCAAGCGCCTCTTTTACCACTCGCTCAATGTTTTCTCTGTGAAGCTGCTGTGCCACCACAGGAATTATTCCACCTGTTCTGGTAAAAACAAAGAACTACCATATATTTGTATTTCCTAACAGACAGGATGGCACAAAACCAGATTTCAAACACCTCTAAACCTCACCAAACCTTGCCTGTCTCCTCAGTACATTCTCAATTGCCTTGTTTAGTGTCAAGGGCATCTCTGCACTGAAGAGAACGTAGTTATCTCTGGGAGATCAGAAAAGTCTGTAACTTGCCCTTTTTGGGCACACATAACTCTTAAGCAGATCTCAGTACTGTTCCAAAACAATGTCTGCTCAATATTCACAGCCCCTCACTTGTCAGTCCAAGTACTTAGCCACCAATGCCTATATTGGATTCATTTTCCCTTTAGAAAATTGAGACATTTGGTGGTTTTACCAGTAATAATGATTTTGCCTTCGATTCAAGCTATATCAGTCTCTTTTTGAAAGAAAATACTGGAGTAAACTTGTTAAATGCACTGCATTTCTTTCCTTACCCACAGCAGTATCTCTGCCAGGATGTGTTTTGGCCCAAGGTAGTCTTTACACCTACTCATTTACTGGGTTTTCTGCAGAAGACTTTTATAAGGAAGATACTGGAAGTAAGAATGACAACAAAATCATTAATAAGGGGAAAGCCCCAAGAGAAGTATGTTCTTACTGTAAGTGGACTTCCTTCTGGCAGTGCAGCGCCTCCCCCAGAACGCAGCCGGCATCGTCCACCACTGCAGCGCCGGTGTCATCGCAACTCGTCTCGATTCCCAGAACCAGCTTCCGAGGATGCCGTTTTCCAGAGGGATCAGATCTGCTTCTCAACCACGCAGCTCGGCCGTGTTTAGCCGACTTCAGAAGGCTTTTGGCAATGCTGTTCATTGGTGGTGGTTATGTCTAAAAAGGAACTGAGCAGTTTATTATCGCTGGAGGGTTTTCAAGCATGTGCTCCAATTTCCTGAAGAGGTGGTACTGCTTTTCACGTTCTGAACGATCGCACACGATATTTAAGACCCCACAAAAAGTTCTGCGCTACCGTCTTTATCTCAACCACGCTTCAGGAGGAGCTCTTCGCCCACATCTGCAGTGCACGGTGCTCCTGCAGCCCTGAGGCAGGGCACCAACCACAGCGTTAACCCCAGCCCCCCGCAGTCCTCGATGCCCAGCTCTCTGCAAATTGACCTCCAAGGCTCCTCTTTCCTGCCCCACCTTCAAGCACTCATTTCCACCCGCAGCGGGCCGGCGGCACAGGTAGCGGGTACAGGCGGCAGGTGCGGTCCTGCTCTGCCCGCCGTTCCGCCAGGGCAACGCATCCCTCCTGCCCCACCGCGCACCCACTCCGTACCCTTCTGTCGCGATAAACCTCCACCTCGAGCCCTCCCTCTTCCCAGCGGCACGCTTCCGGTGCACCGCCAGGTCACGGGGCGGTGCCCGTGGCGCTGCCGCCTCCCACGGGGCCGAGCGGCACGGCAGCCGGCGCGGCCGGGCGCGTCAGCTCCGCACGTCGAGAGCCTCCTACAGCCTCGAAACGGCAGGGCCGTGCCCCATACCGGGGCCCCATAGCCGCTCAACGCCCGTCATCACCGCCCGGTGGCGGCAAACCTCCGTCAGTGCTTCAGAGCCCCGGCACTGACACACTGAACAGGGACTGTCAAAGGGCTGACACTGCCTCTCCAGGGTCAGTATGCACGAATTAGACAGGTATCACTGTACATACAACCACCACACAGAATTAATTACTTCCAAATCATCACCTTTTTTTTTTAACAGCATCTTTATCAAGAAAGTAAATAGCCAGCAAATTATCCTTGCAAGAACAGAAGTATGCCACTGTGGGCTTTATTTTAACTTTTTTCCAGCTCACTGGCTTTATTTTAACTTTTTTCCAGCTGTCACTGCAACCCAAATGTAAATGAAGTCTTAAATAGAGCCCTCTGTCAAACCTGAGCTGGTTTTGGTTGGCAGATTTCAATATTCATCCTTTTCCAAGACAGAGAAATTAAATGCTCAGAGCTCTACACGTACCTCCTTTCACTCTAATTCCAGAGTTGATTAAACACAAGATTACTCCATACCCTAACACAGCGTCCCCCACATTTCTAAGACATGCAAATTATCTATAACTTTTTCTGCAAAATCATAGTTAGTCCATGTGATTTGCCTATTCACCTACTTCAAGTTTGGCTTCTATTCTAACTCAGGACCTACAATGTTTCTCTTCTGTGTTCCAACTTGGTTGCTCTATAATGGAGCAGCTTCTCCTCCACCAGCAGCAGCAACCACCCTTTCCCCCACCATCATACATCTCTCAGCTACTGAAAAATAACTGATCAGTCAGAAAACAGTCAAAAATTCACACCATGAAAGAAAATTCAGCGTCTCAGAATGTGCCACTTAAGTCAGTATCCTGGCAAGCAAATGAGATCAACGCAACAGTGTCAGCTTCTAAAAGCATACATAAACTGAGCTATTGAGTTGATGTAGAAGTCCCCCGAGCTGACATTTAAGGACTTTTTTTGGTCACTGTGACAAAAGAATAATCACAAGAACAGGTAAGGCATGACTGATCCCATCAGCTTATGCTGGCTGTCACAGTACGTACTGCAAGACAAACCTTTACAATGCAGGAACAAGTACAACCACCTACAATCCACACAGCAGAAACTAGGTACTCTCACTCAACCTAAGACTACAGCCTCACTAGTCTGTGTGTGGAGAATCCTGGATTTACATGTAAAGTTACCATCTGCATTATTGTTGACTGGGTATTTGCGAAACACTGCTCTCTACTTCCAGATAATACTCGCTGTTACTTCCTTACAGGTCACTTGCATCATGCAGGCATACATAGTCTCAGTGGGTTTTCACTTTAGAGCTGGGCCTGCCCAGCTCTTCATGGAAATCTTTCTTCTAAACGTTTACCAATTCACGTGTAGGTGTTTGAAGGCATCTTCTTACAAACTCAACTTTCATCCCAGACAAAGTTGCAGGATGCAGGAACTGTATCTCAGCTGTAAAAGCATCTTTCATTGAATACAATTAGACACTAGGCATAGCAGACTACTCGATTCCTTCCCCTGGGGAGCAGCATCAGCCATGTCAGGGGCGGTCAGTGTCAAACCTTCTGCTTAGTATTTATTGATGCCAAAGATTCGAACGCCATGCAACTGTGGCAGCTTGGGGATGAGCACGGTCAGGAGGGAGGTCGTGTTGAGAATAAAGTGTGTTGAATCATACTTTGTGTAGAAACTCGCCAGGAAGTACCTGTGGTAGAAAAGGGAGCAAACTTAGCTGATGACACCCTTTTCTGAAAAACAAACAAACAAAATTAAGTAGAAGAAAGTGCTTTAGTAATCAGTACTAATTTACTGGTTAATTGCCTTTCTATTCCTATACTCAGTATCTCACCAGGGGCTCTAGAATATCCACAGCACAATTATGGACCTCTTCTTCCTACCCTTCTCACAGCAGTGAAAAGCAACTCCCAGGTGGTGTCTTCCTCCAGCACTTCTTCCCACCCCTCAAGCTGGAATCTGACTTCTACAGCTACAAGCCTCATTTATGATATGGGTTTTAAGCACTTACACCAAAATCATTGCAGTTCTGCTACCCTACCAAGCTGAGCGAGGAAACATTTGACATTTTTCAGTGCAAAAATCTGTTATACTGAGCACATCTGTGATAGGTATGACTTTAAAATGATACTGTGATCTGGTGGATGTTTCCAGAACTATTTTTAAGCTAGTCCACAACCTGTTCAACTGCAAGAATAAGAAAATGTGCCTCAGCAAATCAAATTCACTACCAACTTCTTTACACTTTGAGCTAATAATTCCATCTCGCTCTTTGCAAAAACTAGTCACAGAAATAAGGCTATCACATTGTTGGGGTACGCTGATTCAGCTACTTATGCATTATTACTGCACAAAGAGAACCATACACAAGTGTTACAAATACAAAAACAACTTCCTAAACATGATGCAGGATCTTCCCCCCTGCCTCCCCACCATGCAAGTGGACAACTTCCTTCAAGGAAAAGCAGAAAGACTTTTTAAAGTTGGATACTAAATAGGTGGTGTTACACACCATGCCTTTGTCAACAGAGACAGGCAGGGTAGCATTTCTCATCTATTTACACAACTAATTTAAACACAAGGCAATCTGTACAAAGCAGAACTGACATGCAAAATCCTGGACCCTACTCAGTGAAGGCTGCCATACTCCCTAGTACTCACAAGTCACTAAAGTGTTAATAAATGCTGTCACTTGCCAAAGGAGTGAACTGGAGTGTCAAAAGCTGCAGGAAGAAAGACTGTTGGTAACCTGTAAACATGTGCTCCCTATCCCTGTGATGCAGAAACACACAAACAAGTGGGGGGAAAAAAAATGCTTTTACAATGTAAATTGCAACCCATTTGCAGCTTTTGAAACCATGATTTTATAATTCAGTTAATCCAGAATACAGTTTTGAACTCACAGAATTATAGGAGAGATTGTGAAGAATTTTCTTGAAGATGTAAATTGTACTCCATAATCCAGTTGTTCCCAGTGTGTTAGTAGCCTAGCTTTCCCCTGATCCGGTGTTTCAAAAGGAGTTCCCTTTACTGCATGCAAAAACACATACATTCCCTGGGGAAAATGAAAAGGGAACACAGTGGCACTTTTAGCTATGGGTTTTGTTTTTTTTAGTAATTTCTACATTGTTCAATGCATTGTAAAAACAGAGTAAAAGCAGCCTGGTCTCAGCATTCTCAAAAGCTGCTGGTCTGTAATGACAAATTATCACAGAGGAGGGAAGAGAGAAGATGTGATTTGCCCCAGATTGTGCAGTCAGTGGCACAGTCAGAATTAAAGCCAAAGTCTGTGTGACATCCAATCCACTGCCTTGTCTTTGACATGAGATGACAAAAAAATTGCATGAAATAAAGACAATTTTAACCAGTACTGCCACAAGCTCAGGGCTGCTGCAGTGTATTACCACTTACCTAACACAGTGTTAACTGAGTAAGGAGGTAGAGTCTGCACAAGGCAAAATCTAGCTACGAATAATGCCAACATTACAAGAATTTTAAAGCTTTCTTAGCCTCACACCAGCTTCAAACACTTGTAAGCTGACTACCAGCAAGCTGTTAAGTCTTATCTGTCCATCTCTTTGCTGCTTCTTCTTTACCACATTGGACTTCACTTGTGATTGTTTCTCTCTGATGGGAACATGCCATGCGTGCCCTGTTCCAAGAGATCAATGTGGGCCTACTGATTTCAGACAGGGGAATCTATCCTCTTCCAGATTTAATAAACATTTGTTTCCTATCAAAGCAGGCACATCAACTCCAAGCAAGAGTCTCTATCAGAAAGTATCAAAGACTTCCTTGTCTTTCTTTCAGGTCCTTTCTTATGCACATACAGAAATCATTATAGAAAGCTTTATATATATATATATATATATACATATATATATATATATATATATAAAAAAAGAAGTTTCTTTTGAATTCATATAAATGAAGTGAAATCTGAGCAAGTCACTTCAAATTATTTTCCCTTTTTCTATTTTGGACCCGCCTGCAGTTAACCTAAGAAAATTCATTAATTTGCTTAATGATGTTTGCAGCATCTCATTTTTAATACCTAAACCAAGAAGGCACTTTTAGAACAGACCCATATGCTTACTTGATATTTTGTTTTGCACTGGTAGTTGCAGAAAGGAGCACCAGAAATGCTTTCAACATCAGCTAAGAGTTTTCCAGTAGTGGAAATCCAAGATTTTGTTGTTTGCCAAACCATTCAAAGATTTGTTTCCCAAAAAGTACAATTTAAATACTGAAATACGCAAAAGTGCAGTTTATACTTATCTTCTAGGGTTCCACTAGTACTTGCCAGTGCATGCTCTCATCCCTGTTGTCATTATAGCTACTTGTTATGATGAATTCGGTAAGGCATTTGGGAAATATTTAGTAATATTCGTCTCTGCCAAGCATCACCTTCCCAAGACAGGTATGTCTGATGCTGACAACAATACCGTACACAATGCTCTACTGATGCTTACAATTAGTTTTAAATGTATCTACAAAAATAAAAAGCTTGAATAAAAATCATTTTATTTTTCACAGGATTCAAGAGGATACTATTCCACCTCAGCCTTTAAAGTGAATGATCATCTTCCTAAATACAGAAGAAGCTATCATTTTGTTAAGGCTTCTTTGCTGTTAATCTTAGAAAGCTGTATTAGCAAACCTCAAGTATGACATAAAATGCTGGATTATGCCCCTCTTTTCATACATCACTTGTCCTCCCCAAAACAGCCAGCTCATTTGTGGATAAGCCAAGCAGAGATGGGATTTCATTATCCATACAACTTGGCTATTTTTCTCCTGCCACTAAAAATAAGTATGCACGAACAACTTCTCAAACTCTGTTACAAGAGAGGGTACTTACCAGGTTGTGAATCACATTTGTTAAAGTCCAGGCGACAGGCACACTAAAGAAAGGAATGCTGAGCAAGACAATGTGCAGCAGGCCAACTCCGAGGGCATACGTCAGCCACATTCCACGACTGTTCATCACCCGTGTGTTTGGATTTACCTCGCTGTGGGCAACGCCTACATTCATTTTTACCCTATAGAACAAATCTGTCTGAAGACTGAGATTACTGTTATAGACAGTACTTAACATGTACAGGTTTCAGATTGGATAATGGCTGTTTTACATCAGCAGGTGTAGCAGCAAAACAGTGCATAAGCCAAGATGTACCTCAAAATCTTCAAAGTATTGTTTATAGAGAAGTTATAACAAAAAGGGCTGTTAGGAACAGTTTGTTTAAAAAAAGCCCAAACAAATAAACCCCACAATCTTGCTACAGAAGGGACATTTCAAAAAGAATAGCAAGCTGTGCTCGTTACCTAAAGTTGCAAACCTTTAAGAAATCCAGCTTTGTAACTCTTGCCCTCTAAATTCTTCTCTCCATCCACAACGATATCTGCAGTCCTTACCCACCTCTCATATCAATTTTCCTCCTGTTTCTTGCTCACATAATGGCTAGTGAAGAATTCTGTGTATATCAACTGCCCTGCCACCTACTGCTATAAAGAACAAGGGCTGATTGATGCTTTTCTTGCAGAAGAGTGCAGATTTCCTCCTCTCCCCACCTGCTAGTTTTCAGACAGGCATTTCCATCTTTCAAATCTGGATGAAATCAGCCAATGGGTTTTCTAAGTGATAGCCATACACAGAGATATAACGAACAATTTCATAACACTGATTTCACCAGGAGATAGACAACTTACAGTGAATAACACTGTATTAAAATCTGTACTGATAATTATAAAAAAAAAAATGCATATTTCATACTCACGTGATCTGTGAGACTATTTATATTGTTATGGGCCTGGGATGGAGACTTTTTAACTTCCTTCTAAGTCAATCTACTAAGCACTGGCTAAACAACAAAAATAGCTTGCTTTTGATAAGTTTGTTTCTTACACTGGCTCAGTGCCACAAAGTGCTGGTAGTACAGCAGTATTTTGCAATATTAACTGTGGACTGTAAAAATAGATGTGATGAACCTGAAAATGAACCGTGACAGTGCTGACTTTAATCAATACTTAATCGCAAAGTATTTCAAGCCGTGCACTCACAGGGAACACATTACCTGAGATGTGTGAAGTGAGGTTGTTCCTCCCTCCCTAGGATACCCCTAGGATACAGCACCGCCGCTGCGCGAGTACCTGTACCTGCACACACACTTTCACGTTACCTTCCACCTTGCCCTAACTTTCCTCTTACTTAACCACACGGACCCGCCGCCAGACCCGTGCTGTCCCTCACAGCGGCACGGAAAAAGCAAGACCCCTCGCCTCCCCGCACAGACACCTCCCTTCCGGCCACGCACCGGGCGGACTCCCCGCAACCCATCCGCCCGCCGCCTCAGCCCACCGGGCCCGGCTGCAGCCGCCGAGCGCCCCGGGGCCTGCTCGTAAGCACAAGTAGCGACCCTGCCTATCTTCCCGCCCTCCGCCTCTCGACCGCAGCCCCACCTTTCCGGGCACCCCCGGGCCGCGCTCTGACCGCAGCCACCGAGGAGCAAGAACGGAACGCTAGCCGCGGGCCGCAGGTAGAACCCGCCGGCGGCCCCGTGGGCAGGGCTGCCGCGGAGGGGAGGGGCCCGGCCAACCGTCCGCACCGCCCATCGGGTGGTGGCGTGCGTCGGCGGCAGCAGCGGCGGCAGCAGCGGCTAGCAGGGAGTGGGGCGGCACGGTGCGGCGGTAGCGCAGCCGCGGAGCCTGCTGGGGGGCGGGCGCCTGGGAAAGGCTGAAGGGCGTGGGGCTGCTGCCTTCCCTAGGGTCTTGGTTGGGCGAGGACACTTTTTGCCTCTGGCAGCTGGCTTCACCTTAGCGGGAACCGCTGCCGCCCAGGGACGGGCTAGGGCCTAGGGTTAGGCCTGGGCCTGGCTGGGTGCGGCGTCCCGCTCCCCTCTGCGTGCGGGACTAGGCCCCGTGAGGACCGAAGTCGCCACGCCGGGCTCTCCCCTCAACTCCCTTCATCTCCCCTCATCTCGTCGCTGGGCGGCGATGTGAGCTTAGTCCCCCGTGCTTTTTGTAATGAAAAGCGGAACCGGGAACAGGGGACTGTTGGTGTGGTTTTAGGTAAACTCAAGTGTGACCGCCGCGGGTTTTATCTGCACCTTTTGTCCCTTTCGTTTCCACCGAGCCGGTGGACTCCTGAGGAAGGTGGCTGTGGGAGGGGGGGTTGGGGAGTTGCCCTACAAATCTGTGAGGCTGCGACTGTGAAGTTTATGGAGGTTTCGGCTGCAGTTTTATCTGCTGTTGTGTAGTATTATAGCTGTCCAGAGAGCCCCTGTTGCAGGGGTGTCTCACGTTGCTTAGAGGGGTAAACGGATTGCATTCAGTTATGATGGTCAAGGACAGAAACCACTGCCTTCCCAACGAGCACAGATTATAGTATGTCTGCCTAGTGAGGAGTTATAATAGTAACATGGCTTGAGCTGAAATATGTATCTTTAATATTAGCTATAAGGCAGAAGTTCTTCCCTGCGAGGGTGCTGAGGTGCTGGCACAGGGTGCCCAGAGAAGCTGTGGCTGCCCCATCCCTGGCAGTGTTCAAGGCCAGGCTGGACACAGAGCAATCTGCTCTAGTGAAAGGTGTCCCTTTGGAACTGGATGAGCTTTAAGGCCTCTTCTAACTCAAACCATTCTGTGTTCTTTTAGCTGAAAGTAATCAAGGGTTGGATGTATTTACATAGGTAGCAAGTACCAGCAGGTGCCCCTGAAATGTGGCCAGCATGGCTTTGTCCTCCCTTTGCCATCCAGTGAACAGTCGGTGCAGGACCCTGCGTGGGGTGTTTCGGGTCCAGGGGAGGGGAGGGCAGTCCAGGAGCTGGTTTCTTTCCCAAACCATCTGCATCAGTAACACCTCATAGACAGTTAATGTTTCTGTCTTAACACCCTCCATTGTCTTAGTGTCTTTTGATCCAGCTCCGATCTGGTACTTGTCATTACTAAATCATGAAGCACTTGACATGGGAGCCCTGTATAATGTGTGACTGTGTGGGGAAACCTGCCTCACTGAACGTGTGTACATGATTTAATATTGGTCTGTGTTCAGTAGCCCTATTCTGTGCTCCTTTTCCAGTTTGTTTGCTGGAACAAATGATTTGTCAGATGTTTTTACCACATGAAAGGCAAACTCCCTTTGGAATATAAATAACAAGTATAAAGAGAAAATATCTTTGTAGTTCTTAAAAAACTTTAACGCTGCTTCCTCTTCAAAACACTGTACCATTTTTTTGCCAGGTAACCATGTTTTTGCTTTTGTCTTTTATGTTTAAAGAGTGGCAGCCCTTAGAAGGACATCAAGGCAGAGAGAAGTGTCCTGTAATTGTTGTATCAGCTGCATACACCCTGCAGGATAGTGGTGCTCTGGGGAGTTGGTTGCAGGCCCCCACTGTAACCTGATTGTATTGGGAGGAAATCTGGGTTTGTTCCATTCCTCCACACATGCTCATATCCTTGGGATGGGTGCTGAGTGCGCTATGCTGTCCAGCAGATAGCTTGGACTGAATGAATGGGAAAGCCAGGACTGCTGGGGTTCTTTACCCCTTAATGTAAATAACACAACCTAGTAAAGAGCAGTGCTGTGGAGAGAAGAAACCCAGATCTGAAGTGTTTTTGGGGTGCAAAGAGCTGTCTTAGCAATGCTGTTTATCCCCTGTTCGTCACACACACGAAGAACTGTGGTTGAGTTCTTTGTGTCAGTCTAGAAAGGTTACCAATGATTTTTCTTGTGTCTACTTGGGTACTTAAACAGAAATGCATGCAAAAATTTGCAGATCCATGTACAATCTTTTCATAGTAGAGTATCTGTGTAATAATGCAGGAATTTTACGAACCTTTGGAAGTGTTTTCAATGGTAAAAAACAGGTATTTCCACTGGCTTTTGATACAAGGCATCTTCAAGTAAAAGATACAGAGGCACAGAAATACACTGACTTGTCTCGGGATGCAGAGTAAGTCATATCAGAAAGGCAAGGTTATAATTCAGAAGGTTTTTTTGTTCCTTTTTTCATATTGCTAGTAGATCTCATTGCCACTGAATATGACTTCTGTATCAGCATCACTGTGCTTCCTTCCTGCTTCTTTCCCAACTCTAAAATGGTTACCTTCAGGTCATATTTCTTCCGTGATTTTTTATATACGGGGAATTTTATTTATCAGTGCTGAAATCAGACCTGGTGCTGGGTAAATATCCTAGCTGAAGACATTTCTTACTAGCACTTTGCTTACCATCTGGTCTGTCTACTTTTGGAATTGCAGGATCCCAGCCATGTTACAGTAGTTTAGCAGAGATGAGTACATAAGCGAGAGATAATACACTGTTTTGCTCAGTATTTCTCTGAATTCTTAGAAGTTTTTCATTAGAAGTTTACTTAAAATAGTGGTTTTTAGTCTAGACCTGTGTTCTGTTTCTTCTACAAGTCAAACTTTTATTGGCTGCTTCTGCTGCTGCTGCTGTATATTAAAAATTGTACTCTTCAGCTGTTTACGCTTCACCCACATTTAAAAGATGCTGTGAAACAATTAATTAGAAGTGTGTATTTGTAATGTGGCTCATATTTTCTTACCTTTGTACACAGTGTCTCTCAATCTTATTCCACGATGAAACAGCTTTCAGCAGAGACAGTTCGTCTACTCTCAAGTTCTCAGGTGATTACATCAGTTGTCAGCGTGGTGAAGGAGCTGATAGAAAATTCCTTGGATGCTGGTGCCACAAATATTGATATTAAACTGGTAAGTCCCCTTTCTTTCTCTAACAAAGAATTGAATGTAAAAATAAGAGGCAAGGGAAGTTGTTCCACTGCAAATGTATTTTTTAGGCTATGAAGGTTTGGGGAATGGAAGGGTATTAATAGTATTTATACATATATATTTTAATCTCAACTACAAATGGTCCAAACCCAGTTTCCGTTAATGTTTTTGAGGCCCCATCGAAACGGTAAGGCATATTTGTACTCCTGAGTATATCTTGGGGTAAACCCAGAAACTTCTTTAGTATTTCTTTTTCTACTTGCAAATTACCTTTCCTGACTAATAGTTTGTTCTAAAAGGTGTTGGGCTTAAGTTTCACTGCTAGATTGATATGTTCAATGCTCACTACAAAATATTGTCAGGAAGATGAAAATGGAAACAATAGAAAATGTTGATGGCCATGTTACATATTGTTATAATATAAATTACCACATGGTGAACTCTGGCTACTGCTAACGCCTTAATTTTACAAGATGTTAAAAAAAGTTGGCATATTACTCAAGGATAATTTGGGGTGGGGGGTGGAGGGGGAATATTGCTTGTAATAAAGAACTTGTGCTTTTTTTCCCCAGATTGGATTAAATGGCAAACTGATTAGTTACTCTTGCTGTCATGAGTATTTCTGGTTTTGCGGTGTTTTGTCAACAGCTGCTTAGTATGAGCATCTCCTGCTTTGTAAGAAAGTGTGTTGTTACAATCTGTATAAATGGATGTATCCAGAATTGCATCCAGTTTCCTTTCCTGCAAATAACAGTGAATGTATAAGCTATTCTTGAATTAAGTGTTAGACAAACGCTCTTAATTAGGAGGGAAATCAATTTTCTGCTTGTTTCTCTGTCCATGTCACTGCTTTCTTTTCTGAATGAGTCTCAAGTGCTTTCCATCTGAGTCTCCTGCAGATGTTAAAGAACATGCTTATTTGTCCTTTGCCTTAAGTGAGTTGAAGGAACTTCTGTGATCTATGATGACCTCTATCATCTCAATATGTAGGCTGAATAGTATCTTGTTTCATGAGTAACTCCAAAGTGAGCAGTTTGTGCACAGTTCTGGGGATATTAGAGTCAGATCCTGTAAGCTGATCAGTAGCTGCAGAAAGTCAACAGAAGGTTTTAGAGCCTTCAAAAATTGTTACAACAAACCTTGTCTCTTTTACGGGAGTGCCAGTAGAAAGCCATGCAGATAGTGGGGGAAAAAGCCCTCTAGTTGCTGTGGGTTTCATGCT